TCATTATCATTANCATTATCATTANCATTTATCATTATCATTTATCATTATCATTATCATTATCATTATCATTATCATTATCATTATCATTATCATTATCATTATCATTATCATTATCATTATCATTATCATTATCATTATCATTATCATTATCATTATCATTATCATTATACTAATAAATATTATTATTAATATTATTATTAATATTATTATTATTATTATTATTATTACTTTATTAATAATAAATTTTCTTATTAATTTATTATATTTGTTTTTATTTTTAAATATTGTCTTGTTTTTTATTTTTTTTATATTTTTTATTTTATATCTTTATTATTGGTTTAATAAAATAATTTTTTATTATCTTTTTTTATATTTTTATAAAATTTTATAGGTTTTAAAGACAATTATTATTATGTAGATAATATTTATTTTTTATTATTTTTCTATTTTAATAATTTAAATTGTTTATATTCTTTAAATTTTTATTATAAATATTATTATTAAATTATGTATTTTATTATTATTTTTATATTAAAATATTATCTTGATTTATTTTTTTATTCTTTTAATTTATTAAATAATTTTACATTTTTAATTCTTTATTTTATATTTCAAAATATTAATTTGTTTGATTTTATAATTTTAATATTAGATTTTCATATGAATCATCTTTTTATAAATATTATATATTTTATATAAAATTTATATATATAGCATTATTTAAATTTTTTAAATTACTTAAATTTTTAACACTTTTTATGTTATTATAATAAAGGAAATTATCCTTATTTTTTTTAATATTCATATTATCAATATATTGAATGTTATTTATATTATTCATATTATCAATATTATTAATATTATTATTTTAACTATTTATTTAATTCACTTAATAATCATGACTATTATTATTTATATTATTAAATTAATTAAAATTATTCATATTGTTATTTATATTAATATTATTAATATTATTATTATTATTATTATTATTATTATTATTATTATCATTTATATTCAATAGTAAATTAAATTCAGGTATATCTTTTGAGCTGATGTTAGTTAAAAAAATACTAAATAGTTTTTCTATTATATTTTAATTTTATTCCCTTATTTATTTATTTACATAAATATATTAATATGATTTTTATATTACTTTTATTTATTTAACTCTCCCCATAATAACTTATTATCTGCTATAATTTGATAGTTTTAAGCAATTAAAACACTACAAGATTTTTCTAAATTATCTTACTTATTTAATAATTTTTATATCTTTTTTAATAAAAATAATAAATAATTTAATTTTTTTTTTTATTTACTTCATTTTACATTTATTAGTTTCTTTTATCATTTTATTCTTATTAAGCTTATTTCATATTTTCTACTAATTATTGATTATCGTAAATTTTTCTTTTGATATCATATAGTAAATTTCTTTTTTTATATTATATATTTTAAAATTATTTTTATGATTTATTTATTTAATATATTGAATATTATTTTAATAATAAAAAAAAATATTTATCAATAAATTTACATTAAAATATGTTATTTATTTATCATATATACATGAATTTTTTTTATTATCTTTTAATAATTTTTTTCATTTAAATTTAAATGAAATTTTTTTACGGATATCCTTTTCTAAATAATCTATGTCTCCATTCATTTTCTTCACTTTCATGTCTTATTTTATGGAAATCATACATATTAAGCTATTTTTGTTTTAAAAAACTTTATTAACTAATTTATTTATTATAAAAAAATTTACTTATCTCACATATGATGCAAAATTATTCGTTTTAAAATATTTAGGTAATACTTTTTCAGCAAACTCATTTGGAGATTTTATTTTGAAAGCTCTGCCATCTTCATTCCAACAAATTATATCATTATATTCACAACTCTTTATATTTAAAATTTTTTATTAAATAATTTTGTTTTATTTATTAATATTATATTACCTCAAGTATTTTGTAGGTTTTTGATAAAAATCCAGGAATTGTACAATTCTTTCCTTATAAATTTTTCTTTTTCATCTTTTTTTTTTAATTTTTAATTATTATGAATATGCTTATTTTGCTTCTTCTTTTTTTTATTTTATTAATTAGAAAAATATAATATTTTTCTAAAATTCGTTTTTAATTTTTTTTATATAATTAATTAATTTATAATATTATAAAAATTTTATTTTGATATATATAAAATTTGATTTATATAAAATATTAATAGAAATAATAAATATATTAAAAATTTATATATAAAATATTATAATTTATTTTTATTTATTATTTAAATTATTTAGTCTTTATATATTAATTTGGTATAAATTTATATCTTTATTTTTATAATTAGATCTTTATGCATAATTTGAAGTAAATTATAAAATATTATTATTATTTTTTTCCTCTAATTAAAATAAAAAATATATGAATAAGTTTACAATTTTGTAAATATATTTAAGATGTTTATTAATATACCCTTTTATAATTTGTTTACCAAATAAACAAAAAATCTAATAATTTTTTTTTATATTAAATTACATAATATATTTATTTAAAAAAAAAAAAAAAAAAAAATTAAATTCAACTTATAAATTTAAAAATATTAAATTTATAAAAATTTGAATAGTATAAAAATTTTATTTAAAATAAAAAAAAGAAAAAAACTTATATAAATTAAATAAATTAATTGCCCAAAGAAATTTTAACTATATTAAGTATTTTTAATTTTATAAAAGTATGTTTTTTTTTTTTTTATATAAAAAAAACTTCAAAATTCATTAATTTCGAAATTAGATTCTTCATAATTATTATCAAATTCATCATCATACGAAAACTCTCCATTTAAATTATTTTTTTCTATTATTTATTAATTCTTCTATATTTTTTAATTATATTATTTGCAGTTTATACATTAACTCCTAAAATTTTATGAAATTTATTTTTATCTTAGATTTTTTTATATACTAAATAAAGCTATTTTAACTCCTTGAAACATAACTTAGGAATTAAATGTATTCTTTTATTACTTAAACAATTTACTTTGAAAATTTCAGGAAATTTTATATTATATTTTTCTTCGAAATCTAACACTCTTTTCAGTATTTTTTACGAGGCTTCGGGATAAAATTATTCCAGATAATTATTATTATTTTTTTAGGAATTTACTGGATATTAGATATCTTTTTCATTAAAACTTATGTTGAAATTCTCCTCTTCATCTTCATCTTATGAATTAGTTCCTTCCTATTGTTTTGAAACAAAATTTTAAGATATTATTTGCTAAAATGAAATATTTATTTAATTATAAGTTCGCATATTTTACATTAGTTTATTTGTATAGTCTTATATTGTAGTTAGTTATTTTATTATTTTTTTAGGTTTTTTATTATCTGTATCTTTTGTTAAAATATTTATTAGTTCTAACTTATCCTTTATTAAATTATTACAAAATTGTATTATTTTTGTTTGGTCTTATATTTATAATTATATTAAGTTTGGTTATTCGGTTTGTTGTTAAATTTTTTCACTCATTTTCGTTATATATTTATTTAAGATTATATTTATATTTTTTTATTAAAATATTATTTTTTTATTAAAATATTATAATTATTATTACTTTAAATTTTCTATAAATATATTTTTTAATAATATATGACTTTTTTTAAGTAGTATTTTATAATTTTAATAATAATTTAATATATATATTACACAAAAATAAATATTTATTATTAAAATTAAATATAATTAATATTTATTTTATATAAAATGAAATATATATTATATAATTAATATATTTAATATAATATATTAAATTTATTTATTTAATATAATATATATTTTATTATGTTTTTTTTTTTTTATTTTTTTTTTAAATTAATTGATAATTAAAATTTTGTCCATTAGTGTTTTTTTTGTTAAAAAAAAAATTCTAAAAGTAAAAAAGA